AGAATGTCCCGTGTGTTGATGAAGAAGAACGTTATTCAGTGCTTTTGTAGAATTTTCTTAAAATTTTTCAAGTCAGACCCAATATTTCTAGAGTTTTGTTTTAACGTCCATTTAAAGTCCATTTTCTCTTTTATTAATTCTGTTTGGAAGTCTGTCTTGTGCCGTCAAGTGGGGTGTTTAACAAATTCTCCGGTGGATTATGGGAAGTTGTATTAATCCATTTTGCTAGCTCCTGTAAGGTTTTGCCTTTATGGACATCTGTGCACCTAGTTGGTGCATATATTTAAAAATTAATTCTCTTCTGTGAATGCCCTCTCTATATTAATACCTCTTTTTCTTCACTACTTTTGGTTGTTTTCAAAACTAATTGTACTGATTAGGAATGCCATGCCAAGCCTTCTTGGCTTACTGGTTTTCTTGAATATGATCTCCACACCCTTTATTTCCAGGTCTGTTATGCCATCCTTGCGGTTAGATTGGTTTCCTTGAGACAGGCATATACTTGGCCTGTATCTTATCCTTCAGCGGCCTATGGTTCTTGAGTGGAGAGTTTTAAGCCATTCACCATTTATTGAGGAGAACTGCATAGGTAAGGTAGATTTACTGATTCTCTGTTGGTTGGATGTTGTTGTATGATTTCTGTGTGAAAGCCTTGTATTATCTGGCTTAATCTTTGGGTTTTGGTTATTTTTATATTCATGGGCTATTATTGATGTTCCGTGCGGTAACGCTGTTTGAGTAACTTCTTGTTAGGGCTGGGTCTTGTCCTTGGTGAAATTCTCTGACCTTTCTGTGTCTGAGAATGTCCTTTATTTCTGCTCATATATGAAGCTTGTTTTCAGGGAATAATATTCTATGGGGCTTTTTGTTTCAAAAGAGAATGGGGCCCCAGTCTCTTCCTTGCTTGTAAAGTCTCATTCGAGAAGTCTGGTGGTTATTCAAATTGGTTTCCCTTGTATGTTACTGGCTTCTTTTGTTTTACAGCTCTTAGAAGGGCCTCTTTAGTTGATTTTTTGGTCAGTCTGATGGACTGCATGGTTGACGTCTTCCTGGTTTGCATTGAATCTCCCAGGGTTCTCTGAGCTTCTTGAACTTGTATATCGAGATTTGAGCAAGGCCTGGGAAATTTCTCTATTATTATCTTCAATAGCTTGTCCAACCCGTGAATGTTGTCTTTCTTCCCCTTCTGGTAACCCTATTGATCCTCACATTAGGTTTCTTCACATAATCCCCCCATCTGCTGTAGGCTTTGCTCTTTTCTCTTGTTTCTCTGCTCTATCTCTTGGACTGATATTTAATTGGAGGGTGTTATCTTCAAGCTCTGGAATTCTTTCTTCTGTTTGATCTACCATGTTCTTGAGACTTTCCACTGTATTTTGTAGTTCCCTGAATTGATTCTTCATTTCCATGGAGTTCGGTTAATTTTTCTTCTGTGTCTATTTTTTAGTGAACTTTTTTTCCCAGATCCTGGAGGCTTTTGTGGTTTCTTTGTGTTGGTTATTCAGTTGTTGTTGCAGGTCAGTGAGTGTTCTTATGATCCACATATGAAATTCCTCTTCTGTCATTTTGGTTGCCTGATTTTGGTTGGTGCCTGTTTCTAGGGGGCTGGGGCTCCTCTTTGGGAGTGTGTTTTCCGCTTGGTTCTTCATATTTCCTGTGTTCCTTCGTTGATTTCTTCCCATGTCAATTAGTTGTTTCTTTTCTTTAGGTTTTTGTTTGGGTATTCACACGCCTTGTTTAGTTTCTGAGCCGGTAGGTGGTGTCTGTGGGTGAGATTCGACCACTCCCTGTATAATGAGTCAGTAGGTGTCTTGAAAAGGGTGTGCAGGATGCTCTCCCTGTCAGTAGGTGGCGCTTGCTTGGAGGAACAGGTTACGCTGTTGTTTTATGTCCTGTTATCAGCTCTTGTTCCTATAGAGAGAACTCTAGTGCCTCAGGTGGTGGGTGGGGCCCTGGGACTTCCAGGTGTGTCCTTTCTCCCCTTCAGTGAGGGCTACTCTAGGAAAGTCTGGGCGGAGCTGGGTTGGGTAAGCCTGCCCTCAGTCACCACCAATGTCGTTAGCAGGGGTCAAAATTCTGTTCTCTGCTTCCAGGCAAAGCTTAGGGAGGGGCTGGAATGGCCCCGCTCAGTCAGAGAGTCTGCGTGTGGGGGTGTGGCTGTCTGAGACCCGCAGTATGGGGCGGGCCTGGCTTCTTTCCACCCTCCCCAACTCCGCAGCTACTCCTGGGCCTCCTCCAGCAGGCCAGACCACACACCACCAGGCCTCCCCTGGCTGTGCTGCCAGTGGGGAGGTTCCTTGTGCAGGAATGCCACCTGGCTGGGCGCACGACCTCCCTTTGGGGGGAGGGTTGCCCTCTAGGACGCTGATCTGACCCTGAAGGCAAACACACCTCAGTAGGCTGTTCACAAATATCCCTTCTGTGCCCCAGGCAATGCGAGGCCTGGGTGCACGGGATCTGTTCTGCAGGTCTGACCTCTGGGTCCCAGAGTTCAAACTATATCCCCACCAGGGAGAGCAGTGCCAGTCCCAATTCACCCACAGGGAGCCCACGCTGTGTCTGTCTCTCAACCTCAGGGTCTGCCCCGCTCTCCTGGGATCACCGTGCCAGCAGCACCTGGGAGGGCTGGCAGGTAGGGAGCTCACAGTCTGAGTTCCCCTTAGTCAGCTGTAGGGCTCCAAAAGGGAAGGTCCCGTTCCCTGTAGGTGCCTCCGGCTGGCTGGTGGCTGTATTGTCTCTCTGGGCAGCTGCAGGTAGGGTCGAGGGAAGGGAGGAGGAAGCAATATGGCATCTGCCGGGCGGCTTGGGTCTGTGCACACGGAGGTGCCGGGAGGGAGTTGGGAGCCTGGTGCCGCGTCCGCTACTGGCTTACCTAAGCTCACTGGCAGCAGCCGTCGCTGGGCTGGTGTCCGCAGGTCTCTCCACTTGCTGGGGTGCCCACCAGCAGTCCGGGATGCAGGGGAGGGGAAACAGCTGATCCACCTACACTTGCCACTGGTCTCCGGGCTGCTCCGGGTGTCCCAGCTTCTAGTTCTCCTCCGTGACCTCCTCCTGTGGAGTCTCCCATGGTCTCAGGTACTCCTCCTTCCGACCCTCTTCCGATGTAGGCTGGTCTTCTTGCTTCTTCTAATTTCTGGTAGAATGTGTCTTTTCTGCAGACACACTCTGTCTGGCGGTGTTTCTCATCCGCCATCTTCTCTGGATCACAAATGCAGTTTTAAAAATAAACACACGGCAAGCATTGCAGAGCTCACTGCTCTGCTCCTGGGGGGTGGCAAGATGCGGGTGGTCCGACTGAGGCACAAAAGCATATCTTGCCCTGCCACGAGATCTGGGCTCCTTTGTTAGCCACAGGGTTCTTCACCAAGGGTACTTGTGTCCTAAAAAGCTATTATTTCTAGGAAAGGACTCCTAAATCTCAACACTACCACCTTCTTAGAAAAATTATTCTCTCTTCAAAGAAGTTTTACAAAATACTGGCCTGGACATAGTTTCATTTAAACGTGTTTAGGACTTGACTGAAGCTACATCATGACCTAATAAAAAAGCTTCTCTTTTTGTTACTCCCCAGACCCCTCACTTCTTACCCTGAGAGCTTCACCGTTAGCTTAAGGCTGTGTTCCCTTTTCCCTTCTCTGAATTATCCAGGCTTTCTGCCTTTCTCTCTGCCCCTCACTCCCCTTGCGCGCTCTCTCCAGCCCATGGTACCATGTTGATGGGTGGCCCTCCTGTGTGAGCTCACTGATTCAACAGATGGTGCCTGTTTATATTCCAGTGGCGCTTCCTGGAAAACATGGCGCCTTAACTGGCCCTTCTAGACACCTTGTCCTGGCTTGTGTTAGATAACTTTGTAGTGGTCTTGACTTTGAGAATTTTAATCCCATTAAGAGTGGGATGAAATGACCTATCAAACCACAGAGGGGAGCGCTCTTGTTTGTCCTTCCTCAACCAAACTAAGCAGCAGCCAGGCACTGTCTTACCCGGGGTGTTTGCACTTAATGCCTTGCTTGCTTAACACTGAGGTTAGCAGCACATCAGGACCGCGAACTCACATAATTCCTTCCTACCTCCCAGTTTTACAGTGAAAGAAATCATAAGAAAAACTGGAAAACCATGCCAGTAAACATGGTAGACCTGAGCTAAAGGTACAAAACAGTCAGATTCATTTCAGTATTGCCTCTTAGAGTTTAATCTAAGAATGGCAGCTACAACACAGTGTGAAAAGATATTCAAATCTCAAATGGAAAAATCAAACCCTTCGTCAGAACACATGTGATACTGACCTCTCAATTTGGTGTGAGGAGGGCATGGAAGACGGAAGCATCAGAGTTCTCTGTGAAATGATTTATTGTGTTGTCATTTGTGATTTTTCAGATAACAAATGTTTAATAAATTTTTTAAATTTTCACCAATTTTTAAGCAGTCAAATGTCTGACTAAAAAGGTTTGGGATCCTAGAAATGGGTTACTATTTTAGGGAGTTGTGTTATCAACCATAATTTTCCCAATGAAAAATGAAGCTTCTTGATTCTAAAAACCACATTTTCACTTTTAAAAAGAAATCTATTGTAGGACCCCATATGTCCATGAAGCCAGAGTTTTATAGCTTCACAATTCCAAATACATTATTTAGATGTAACCACAGTGTGATATTACAAAATCACAAACACTGTGGGTGTTGCCCATTGAATTTGAACCAAGAATTTCTCTTGGTCATCTTACTTGGTGTTCCTATCCAAATGTGAAATATTGGAAATACCAGCAGTGTCAGAACTACAAACTGCAAATATCGGCTCTTAAGCTACTGAAAATTCTAGTAAGTGTCAATATAATACTACCCTAGAATTTTGGGGACTGAGAATTTCAAAAGTCTCAGAGACCACTGAATCTTTTAAAGATAAATTCAAATTTTACCCATAAAGTGAGTGGATGAATTGCTTTATTTTGAATTTGATAATAAAATATAATAAAATCCTAATGTCTGGTTGTAATGTCTTTCAGAATATACCTGGAACACAAAAGCTGGTCAGGGGCAGTTTTCAGGACCTACTTACCATCCTACAGCAAAGAACCTAAATATCATGAACCGAGCACAGCCAGTTCCCTCAGTGCATGGGAGGACAGACTGGGTGGCCAAGTACGGGGGCCACCGGTAGGACTCCTCGGTGTGAAGTCCTGCAGCATTGCTCCATAGAGCGCGTGCAAGTTCACTGGCCCTGGGAAATGTCTACAGATGTCTATTTCTACTGAGTTCTGGAAGAAATATGCAATAGTGGGTACTTGGAAGACCAAAAATCATCTCCTATTTCTTTCTGAGAAATGAAATGCATTTTCTTGGCATCATTGTTCACAGTGCTGATATATGAGTAGGGCTTTACAAAGTATTGAATAAACTATTTGCCAAAGTATCAGGTATTTGATCTATAAATTAATAGATAGTAAGTACAGAAGAAACTTTTTTTAAAAAGTCTCCAGAAAGTGTTTACAGTGATATAGTTTTCATTTGTTGTATATTTGCCTAAATGATTTTACATGTCGTCCGAGTTTGCAGTGATTGGCCTGAGAAGTTTGTTTTTTGTTGTGTTTTTTCACGGCAACTAGGCCGACCTCTGTGGGCTGTCTGCTGTGGTTCTTAATTGGCAAAGGCTCTGCTCTGCCACTTCGGCAGTGACAGAAAGACTGCAATCATCATTTGTTGTCTACTTTGAAGCTGTGGGAGCAATGGTAATGCCGATCTTGAGCTGGATGTCTTTCTTAGAAATGAATTTATCTTTAACATAGAGAATATCCAAATTATGCCACCTGATTTATGTGGAGAAAGAGTCTGTCTGTTCTTGTCCAACACAACTGCACTGTATTCATGGTGACTATCAAACACAAAGGCTTGATGGCTTCCATATTAACCAAGTCAGGGTTTTCTCCTCTTCACATCAAGTTGGTTCTTAAAACTGCATTTAATGTTTGTTCATCAGACTTCCAAAATATGTTGTTTGTGTTTGTAAAGGACACAAAGATGAAACGTGCCAGCTGCTCCCTCCAAGCCAACTCGTGCTGCTGCAGGTCACTGGCTCGGCTCTGACCTTCACATTTGCTCCAGAGCAAATGCGTTCAGCTGCTATAGCGGTGGTTTCACATATATTTTTTTCCTTAGTTTTATTTCTAAATTGGTATTTGAAATAGATGTTTTGAACTCAGGACTATTCTATTTAAACCTGCCACTTTATGGACTGGATACTAGTACTGTCTATTCTTTTTAAAGAATAATAATGTCATCGACTACTGGGATTTTATGTATTCCATGACTTTGTAACAAATGCTAATGTAATTGGTGGCATCATCTTGTGGACATTACCTAAAGGCAAATTATAAAATAATAATAATATGGTATTTTTGTATAGAAGATTCAGCTATTCAGATTTCAGATGTTGAAAAATGTTAAAATCTAAAGAGTATTTATCCTAGTGGTAACAGGTATATGTATTTGTACAGTTTAATGTCTCAAAGCTAAAAATGTCTCTTGTGTTGCTGGGAAATGTTTAAACTCTGAATAGATATTAAAATAAATACAGTTAACTAGTGTGTTTTCTTTACATTTTTAAACTTTCTACCCTGAAGTCTAGGTTTTGTTGTTGTTTTAATTAGTAGACTTTTTAAAAAGTAATTTTAGGCTTATGGAAATATTGATCAGAAAAATACAGAGTTTTCTTACACCCCTTCATCTCTCCCTCCCCAATTTTCCCTATTATTAACATCTTGCATTAGTGTGGTACATTTGTTAAAACCGATGAACCAGTAATATTTAGTAAAATATTAAGTCCATATTTCACATTAGGGTTCACTCTTTGTGTTATGCTTTCTATGGGTTCTGACAAAATATATGATATGTATCCACCATCATGGTATCACACAGAAGTTTCACTGCCCTGGGAATCTTCTGTGCTCCCCCTATTCACCCTTCCCTCCCCTAAGCCCTGGCAACTACTCATCTTTTTACTATCTTCATAGTTTTTCTTTTTGCAGAATGTCATATAGTTGGAATCGCATGCAGAATTTTCAGACTGGTGTCTTTCAGCAATATGCAATTAAAGTTCCTCCATGTCTTATCTTGGCTTGTTAGTTCATTTATGTTTATTGCTGAATAATATTTCATGATATGGATATTCCACAGTTTGTTTTTCATTCACTTATAGAAGAAAGAACATCTTGATTCCTTCCAAGTTTGGGTAATTATGAATAAAGCTGCTATAAACATTTATGTGCATGTTTTTTCATGGACATCAGTTTTCACCTTATTTGGAGAAATATCAAGAAGCATGATTGCTGGATTTAATGGTAAGGGTATATTTTGTTTTGTGAGAAACTACCAAACTGTCTTCCAAAGTGACTGTCCATTTTGCATTCCCTCAGCAGTGAATGAGAGATCCAGTTGCTCCACTTCCTGGCAGTGTTTGGTGTTGCCGGTGTTTTGGACTTTGGTCACTCCAATAGGTGTGTAGTGTTATCTCACTGTTGTTTTAATTTGCAACTCCCTGACATGTTGATCATCTTTTCATATGCTTATTTGCCATCTGTATATCTTTTTTAGTGAGGTGTCTGATCAGATCTTTTGCCCCTTTTTAATTGTTCATTTTCTGATTGTTGAGTTTTAAGAGTTCTTTGTTTATTTTGGATAACAGTCCTTTATCAGGTATGTCTTTTGCAAATATTTTCTCCCAGTCTGTGGCTTGTCTTTCTATTCTCTTGATAGTGTGCTTCAAAGAGCAGGTTTTAGTTTTAATTAAGTCTAACTTCACACTTTTTTCTTTCATGAATTGTCCTTTTGATATTGTACATAAAAAATTACCACCAAATCTAGGGTCACCTATGATTTTCTCCGATGGCATCTTCTAGGAGTTTTATAAGTTTTGCATTTTACATTTAGATTTGTGATCTGTTTTAAGTTAGTTTTTGTGAAAGGCATAAGTTCTGTGTCTTGATTTTTTTTTTCATGTCAATGTCCAGTTGTTCCAGCACCATTTGTTTTACTTTCTCCATTGAATTGCCTTTCGGCTTTGTTTAAAGATGACTGTATTTAGGTGGGTCCATTTCTGGGTCCTCTATTCTGTTCCACTGATCTAGTTGTCTCTTCTTTCATTAATACTACACTGTCTTGTTTACTAGAACTTTATAAAAGTTTTGAAGTTGGGTACTGTCAGTCTTCTAATTTATTTCTTTCCTTCAATGTTGTATTGACTATTATGGATCCCTTACCCCTCCATATAAACTGCAGAATCAGCTTGTCGATATCCACAAAATAACTTGGATTTTGATTGGGATTTCGTTGAATCTAGATCAAGCTGGGGACAATTGACATCTTGACAGTTATGTCTTGACATTGTGTCTTTCCATCTGTGAATGTAGAATATATCTCCCTATTTATTTACATTTTTTGTTTTGTTTTTGTTTTTTGAGACAAGAGTCTAGCTCTGTTGCCCTGGGTAGAGTACAGTGGTGGCATCATAGCTTTATGCAACCTCAAACTCCTGGGTTCAAGTGATCCTCCTACCTCAGCCTCTCAAGTAGCTGGGAGTATAGGCATGCACTATGACACCCAGCTAATTGTTTCTATCTTTAGTAGAGACAGGGTCTCAGTCTTGCTCAGGCTCATCTCAAATTCCTGAGCTCAAGCAATCCTCTTGTCTGGGCCTCCCAGAATGCTAGAATTATAGGCGTGAGCCACCACACCCAGTCAGTATCGTATTTTTAATTTCTAATTTCAACTGTTCATTGCTGGTGTATAAAAAAGCAATTTACTTTTGTATGTTAACCTTATATACCAATATCTGCTATAATCACTTATTAGTTCAGGAGTTTCTTTGTTGATTCTTTCAGATTTTCTATAATCATGTCATCTGCAAGCAAAACATTTTATTTCTTCCTTCCTAATCAGTATAGTATACCTTTTACTCCCTTTTACTGTCTTTCTGCATTAGCTATGACTTCCAGTATAATGAATAGGAATGGTGAGTAGATAGCCTTACCTTGTTTCTGATTTTAGTGGGGAAAACATCTAGTTTCTCCCCATTAAGTACGATGTTAGCCGTAGGTTCTTTATAGTTATGTTATCAAATTGAGAAAGTTCACCTCTACTGCTAGTTTGCTGGGTGTTTTGATTTTTGTCATATTCTTTTTTTGCACCTCTTGATGTGATCATATGATTTTTCTTCTTTAGCCTGGTGATGTGATGGTTACATTAATTGATTTTCAAATGTTGAACCAGCCTTGCATACCTGGGATTAATCCCCTTGGTTGTGGTGTATGGTTTGGTTTGCTAATATTTTGTTGAGGATTTTTCATCTGTGTTTGTGTGTTTGGACACACACACACGTATTCAGAGAGAGAAAAAGAGAGAGGATGTGCCTAATGTTAACAATTGGTGAGTTGGTGAACTAGGTTAAGGGTATACAGATGCTCATGAATAATGTTGAAACTTTTCTATAGATTTGAAAATTTTCCAATTAAAATGTTAAAACAATGTAAATATATAAAGCAAGGATTTATCATAAACACAGAAATACATGATATTTCATGTATACTCATGGTATACTCATTGGTATACTCATGATCAGAGTGGGAGGTTTTTCTTGGAAAACAGATCTAGAGACCTAAAGTAAGTAAATGACAGTTAACTAATTTAATCAAATAGATAGCATATAGAACTTTAACCAATACAGAAAATCTTCACATTCCTCTCAAACACATGTACATTTCAAAAATTTAACCCTATATTAGGCCACAAAGAAAATCTCAAACTCAAATGTAGAAATATGTAGGCTATATTCTCTTCCTACAGTGTAGTAAAACTAGAACATAACAATAAAAGGGCATGCTCCCAAAATCCATCCACTTAAAAACTCAAAAATATAGTTCCAAACACTTAATCAAAATTGAAATGAAAAACTCTTTAGAAATGGACAATGATATAACTCTATATTAAAGCTGGTAATATTCAGCCAAAACAGATCTCAAGGAAAACAATTACATACCTGGTCCATTTGTGAAAAAAACAAGGAGCACTGAAAATATTCTGAATTTGAGGACTTAAGCTTAAGAAACTAGACAAATATAAGTTAAAAAGTAAAATGGAGATTAAAGACAAAAGTATAAAATAATGAAATAAAAAAAGCAGATTTTATTCCAGTGGCAACAACCTTACCTTACCCAGATGTGGTCTCTAATACCACTGTCCAATAAAAGGTACAAGGGCTCCTTGGAGAAATGGTTGAGATTCTAGGACTGGGGCAGAAAAATATATAAGATGAGCCTGGAGCATCTTGTAGTGGAAGTTTTAAAAACAAAACCAAAAACCCCCACACAAACCAGCCAAAAAAGCCTACATTGATGGGCTATGTCAAAAGGACACAGAAGCTAACTGAAAGAGTTTTTCCAATGGCCAAAGATGCACCATTTTGAGCAAGGAACTTAATATGTACTGTATTGTAACTCAAAAAATAAATATCCAGGAGTCCATGCTGAAATGAATGAGGGAGAGGAGACAAATCTCCCATGCTTCAGAATTCCAAATAATTTACGAAGGTACGCTGCCCTCAAGGAGGTGGAGCATAGCTCCCCAGTCTTACGTGTGGAATGTGCACAATGACTCCCATCTAAAGAGTACAGTATGGAAAGGGGGGAAAGGAGTAACTTCACACACAGTAGAGAAACCTGACAAACACCACGTCAGCCAGATGATCAAGGTCAGCATCAACATTAATACTACGTTGATATCTGTAACCTTGATAGGATGTGATGAGAATGCTACCTGATCTCTGGTTTTCCTAAAAACCTGTCACCACAGTCTAACCAGGAGAAATATACTAAATTCCAATAGAAGGTAGAATGTTGCATTCTACAAAATACCTGATCAGTACTCCTCACTAAATATAAAACTGTGCTAAAAAAAACAGTATCTTTAAAAAGATTTGATTGATCTAATCAGCAAATATTTACTAAAGTGCCTACTATGTACTAAGTATAGTGTAAATGGTAGTAACAAAAGAGCTGTTTTCCCTGCCCTATATTCTAGAGGCAGACATTAAATAAAAATACACAAAAACTTGTATATTTGCAAACTGTAAATTTGCAAACTGTAAATTTGTGCTATTAAGAAAATGAACAGGATGTTAGAGAGAGACTAAAGGAGATATAAATGTAGTAGTGAGACCACTGAGTAGTTTTAAGTCTAAGAGTCTATACTTGAAATATGCATCTGCCTACCAGGCAGAGAATGAATACAGGGCTGAATCATAAAAACAGGGAGTCCTATTAGATTCTTTAAATAACCAGGTAAAAGACGGTTGGACAGCTGAGTATTAGCAATGGTATGGGAGAGAATTAATGACGGCCGTTGGTAGAAAGCTATTGGTTTTGGTATTGACCTTGTTGCTTTATGGATCTTTATTAGTTCCAACAGGTTTTTAGTTGATTGTCTTAGATTTTCTAGATAGATAATTCTATCAGCTATTAAAAGTGTTTAATTTCTTTCCTTTTCTATTAATTTATATCTCTCATTTATTTCTTATTTGTCTAATATCTCTAGAACTATGTTGAATCTTGCCAATGATAGCAAACAACCTGTTACTTCTAACTTTAGCATAAAGCCACAGTACCAAATAAAGAGTAGCTAATAAAAACCTAAGGCAAATAAATGTGCTTGAGTGAGCTGATGGAAGCATTTACATTAGTGCCAGAAATTCATTTTGTTCAGATTGATACCTAATTAGAAATACATGAAAAAAGTCCCCATTCATAAAAAACTATAAAGTACCCCACAATAATCTTACTAAAAATGTAAAGAACTATATGAACAAAGCTCTAAAATATTTTAAAACATTAACAAAAAAAACCTGAATTAAATAAAAGGACATTGGATTGACGAGTAAGTATTTTAAAGCTTTCAATTTCCCACCCCAGTTTATCTATAATTCATGCAATCATAAGATACCAGGTAAATTAAAAGACTAATTCTGGATTTATCTGGAAAAGCAACTGTGTCAAGAAGAATCTGAAAAGTAACAATGACAGACTTGGTCTACCAAATATCAAAATATAATACAAAGCAACAGTGATTAATATAATTTGGTACAGGAACAGAAGATAAATAAATCCATGAAAGAGACTAGAAAACCCCCAGAATCAATCCCAAATATAGAAATTCAGTACATGGTAAATGTAGCACTTCAAAGCAACAAGGAATAGATGCACTATTCAATAGGTAATATTGAGGTAATAGCTATTTTTAAGAGAAAATAATTTAATCAGATCCCTAATTTGCACCATCACACAAAAAATGAATTCTAAAGCCGTGTTAAAAATGGAAATGTTCTCAACGCACACACACAAAAAAAGTTGGCAAGGTGCTGCATGTTAATTAGCTTGATTGAATCTTCCTACGATGTATGCAAATTAAAACATCACATTGTACCCCATAAATATGCACACTTACTATTTGTTAATAAATTTAAAAAGCAGAAACCTAAAAAAACTACAAAAGTATTGAAAGAAGAGAATTTCATTTTATAATCCTGAAATGTGAAATGCTTTCCTAAGGGAGACACTTGGAATCTGAAAGCCATAAAGAAAACATACAAATATGATTCCATAAATATGTTTAATTTCTGCAAAACAAAAACAAAACCCATAAACAAAATCAAAAGATAATAATCAGAGGAAAATATCTTCAATATATATGATAAAGAACATTTTTACTATAGTCTCCAATGTTTTCAATAAGAAAATCAAAAACCAAAAACATGGACAAAAGATATAAAAGGGCAGCACTCAGAAAGAGAGAAATACAGCTGATCAAAATAGGAAAAGATGCTTAATAACTCAAAACTAAATAATTAGGACCATTAGGTAACATTTTTGGTGTAGATCAGGGGCTGGCACGGTTGGTTAGTGAACCAAATCTAGCCCATTACTTACGTTTGTGCAGACAGCAAGCTAGGAATGGTTTTTACATTTCTAAATAGTTGAAAAAAATTAAGGTGATATTTTGTGGTATATGGTAATTATATGAAATTCAAATTTCAGGGTCCATAAATAGTTTTGTTGGAACACAGCCACACTTGTTTATGTACTGTCTATGGCTGCCTCTGCTCTATGACACCAGAGTTGAGCAGCTGGGACAGAGACTATGGCCTGCAAAGCCTAATATTTACTGTCTGGCCCTTTACAGAAAAAGTTTGCAGACTCCTAGCTTAATGTGTCAAAGATGAAAAAATCTGATTATACAATATTAGCAAAGGCAGAAAAACAAAATCTCTGATTAGTATCGGCGGAAGTATGAATTGGTACAACCTTTCATAGGCAATCACAATTTGAAATGCTCATATCCTTTGACTCAGCTTTTAGGAATGTAACCTAAAGACTCATCTGGACATGTACACGACCAGCATTTACTGATGTTCCTTGGCCCAGCATTCTAGCATTCTTTGTAATAGAAATATGTCTTGCGTAAAGCCTTTTGCTATCAGTAGGGAAATGGTAAACTAAATAGCAAACATCCATACCATTATAAAGCCATTAAAAAGAATTAAGTCTCCATGTCCAGATAAGGAAAGTGTCCGTTGTGTGTGCACACGCAAGCTAGGACCACTTTGAAGGAGCTTAAGCAAATACATAAAATAAGGGCCTGAATTATGCTCTAAACTCAGCCAATACCAGTTAGGGGTAGAGGTGTGTAGCAAATATCCTTTCCCTTTTAAAGAGGTAAAGAAAACTAAAGTAAGGGGTACCAGACTGAGTTAATTCTTAATGCTGAAAAAAAAAAAAAAAAAAGTGAAGTGAAAAGGTACCAGTATCCAGTTAATGTATCCAATGTAGAGAACAAACTAGGTGATTCAAACTTTAGAAAAGTCAGTTTCACATTAGTTAACAAAAAAATTCTGTACACAGTCCTAATCTTAGAAATCTTCACTGATCATTTTTAAAACAATCCTCAATGCAATGTATAATCAAATAGTAGCTTTCCATGGTCCTTAAATTATTCAAAGGGGGTAATTCCTAAATATAATATTAAGAAAATATGTTCATTTTTCTGTATCTTTTTGTTATCCACATCTCAATGTTCTAGACAGTGCTAGCAATGTAGACACCATAGAAAATATTATTTATAGTAAACTTTATTTTCATTCATATTTCATTTAACATAATTTCAAAGTAGGTCTGTGCTCTAACATGAGAAAAAGAACAGATATCCTAAATCTCATAAGAGATTTTTTTCATACTGTTCCTCTGAGCAGGACATGAGGTTTCAGAGCCCCCAGTGTTAACACCTAAGATTTTACCCCTTGAGATTTTACTTATAGATACAGACAGAAGACGTAACGAAAGAATCAAACTGTGTGAGTGTATTATTAAGTTCCTCTGTTATATATTTGCCACTTCTGTAGGGTTGTAATGGTAATGACTGAATTTTTTTCTCCCCACCAAGTTCAGTGTCTTTTTTTTTTAAGTAGAATGTCACAGTATGCAGAAATGCTGCATTTTTTTCTCTTAATACACTGAAAAGAGTGGAAGTTTAGAGATTTTTAATTCTTCTTGAGTCCAAGGTACAACTTGACTACTACTAATGAGGTCTGTTCAACATACTAATTCCAACTTTGGCAACCATCAGCAAATTGTTTAAAAGAAACACAAACAAAAAATGTCAGGAAAAGGACAGAACAGGCAACTTTTTTTAAGGGACTAGGACTCTGCAAAAGTCCCTCACAACTGCATTGAGAGGGAGGTTCCAAGGCAGAGTAGTCAGATAAAGCTTCCATCTCTGGAGGAACCAAAGAAAAAACATGCCAAGGGGTGGGGAGTCTTATACTGAGGTGTTAAAATAGCACCTGTGAGCTGCAGTTCCAAATCCAACTGCCAGTAATTTGAAGAGATGAAGAAACTGCAGGCGAGAGAGATCAAGGCCTCCCCAAGGTCACAGAGCTAATTAATGGCAGATCTCCAGCATCCCAGTTTATTGCTTTTGACCTTGGTCTACACTGACTCTTGTGCTTCAAGTATAAAATATTATGCTTGACAGCATTGTAACTATGATCAAGGTCAAGTGCATAATCTTTTACTGAAACAGATTTTTAAAATTTCCCCTGCTTCCAGGATGCCTTTATTATACTTAAGGACAGACTTATAAAAAAAACAAATTGGCTTAGGCTTTATAATCAGAGTTAATTAGAAAACAGGAGTCCATCAAAATTCCCTTTTAGCAAAATGTCCAATAACAACACCCATACAACTAAGAAACATGGAACCCACCTGCAAGTGACACAAAGAACAGCAGTCTTGGCTTTCAACTAAAGCCTGCCACTGCAGGGAGGAGCCAGGATGGACCAGAGAACAAATATGAGAACAAAGCCATTTCCCCAGTGAATGCATATATTTATGCCGCTTTGACATTAAATTAGCTGTTTTTGCAGCCCTTCCTATTTGTGTATAAATTATATAATGTTAATTGATGCATTTTATGCTAGCATATTTACTGAAACAAGCAAATTTTTGAATGTATAAAGCATCTTGGGCAATAAACTGAACTCTAGACGGATTGAGAGTAACAGAATGGAAAGTACCTGGCACCTGCAATTAAACCTGCAGGCATAAATTTTCCAGAGTGGTAAAATATCATTCCCATAATGCTAGCCAAGGTCCCAGACATAGCTGATGAACTAGACAAAAGAGAAGGGTCAAAAGTCATTCTATCTTCTATGCAGGGAAACCAAAAGCAGGAAAAGTCCCCCTATTTCTGCAGGCCCAGACCTCACCCTATACTTATTCCTCCCTCTCCAGGTAGGGGAGCTTCCTGGCGGCTGCCCACATCCTACCGGTCTAAGTATAAAGATTGGCCAAATATGGCTCTTCACAGCCCAGGCCCAACCTTCCCTCCTAGCCTCATCTCTCACTACTCTTCTACAAAACCCACACTTCAGCCATCAATATCTTAGTCTTCTCAGAAATGCCATAAGGGTTGTTCACACCTTGCAGATATGACTTCCTCTACTCCACACACTCTTCCCACTGGATATCTATCAAAGCACCTACTGTATGTCCAGCACTACACTAGGTGCTGGAGAATAAAAAGATGTTTTGGTCATCAAAAACAGCCTCTGCCCTTTTACAGTGTTTCATGTCTGATGGGACAGATTTTAAAGAATCACACAAAATTAAAACAAAGTATGTGCTATAGGTACAATTAATGCTACACAAAAAAAACACAGTAAGTAGGATCAACCTATCCAGGAGATCAAGCAAGGCTTAGTCAAGGAAGAAGACTGGGCTGAGCTCTGGAATTATACGAGGAGTTAATGAGCTGAAAGGGGAAAAGCCAGTTCCAGGCAGAGGGAACAGTACCTGCGAGCCTCTCTGGTGAGAGGGAGCATGGCACATTGAAGGAAGTAAAAGGCCAGTGTGGCACAGACATCAAGATACAGTTAGTGAGGAAGAGGGGCCAGACCACACAGGGTCTTGAAGGCCGTATCAGAGATCCAGTATTCATCCTAAGAGCAATGAGAACCTAGTAAAGGGTATTAAGCACAGATATATGTGAACAGAGTTGTACTGTAAAAATACAATTCTAGCTGTCCCATGAAGAACAAACTGCAAGGAACCTAGACAGCACTACGGATGCCAATCGAGAAACTTCCTCGGGAACGCAGGCAGGAGAGGGATAACTGGGCCTAGGATGGTGGCTGTGGAGATGGAGAAGAGGACAGCTCAGGATACGTGCTGGGGGCAGCATTGCCAGGACCTGCTGATGAACTGGAAAGGCTGAGGGAAGAAAGCGACCAAGACCTGAGTGTGTGGAGAACAGAAGAGGGGATGTGTGTGAGATCCTGGGGTCAGGGCTAGGCAGACGCCTTGACATCTGAAAGATCTCAAGCGGGCAACTGTATACATGAGAGTACAGCGTGGAGGAGAGGTAACTTTGAGCCATGTGTGTATTGGTGGTAATTAAAGGCATGGGCTTCAATGACATTACCAAGTGAGAGAGTGAAAGATGAAATGAGTCAGGCCCAAAGAATTTCAATATTTAATGGCCAGAAAGGAAGAAGAGTCAACAAAAGAGAATGAGAAGATGGAAAACCAGGAGAATGATCAGTCAACTGTGCCGAGGACAGCTAACAGGCCAAGTACAAGGAGGACTGAGAGATATACACTGGATTCTGTACACCCCAGGCCACTGGCATCCTCCAGGAGAGCGGAGAGCGACTTCCACAGCCATGAAGAACAGGAAAGGAGACAGACACGGACACGGCACATATGAGAAGAGAGGAAAACAGAGACAGGAGCACAAATGGTTTTTAAGACACGTGATATTTTAGAAATGCTGAAGCAGACAGTCTTCACTGGGCAACCTCATAACCTGATTTTACTGGGTAAATAAATTCATCAGGTATGAGAACTCTTCTGTATTACGTACATAAAACATAAACAGAAACCAGCACAATCCCCTCCCCTATTTTAAAACTTCCTGGGACTTGGCAGAAGCAGTAAAACTGTCATTAAGTATGAAGAACCTGACACATCCCACCAAACCAGGGCCTTCTGGTAAAGAATATACTGGATACTTATCTGCCCTAAGGCGACAGCAGACGTACCTAGGAAAACCCAAATGTTCCTCGAATCCTGAGACAGCTGATAAGCACCCAGGCCTACTAAACCCCCAAAGAGCCCGGCAGCCAGGGACGGCACACTACCTAGAAGGAAGCAAACACATGCCTGTGCTATAACGTCAGACACTGATTTCATTAACAGAATCCACCAGACTCCCCTTCTCTACAGAGGAAAATAGCAGAGAGAACTCCTCTCCATACAGCTCATAACCAAGGTGTAATCAAGCAGGAAAATGTTTTAGAGAGCTTGCTATCTTAAAAGAGAAGTCAGGGTCTTCCCACCCCATTCCTCTCCCTTCTAATAGGCAGGGACTGCCATCCAAGGAAAGACGGAGACCTTCTCTCCTTAGATGGCACTGTCTTCCTTCTAACCAGCCAAGGGCTGGAGTTGTGTACAGGCAGGACCTCAAGCAAATCACAAAAGGAGAGGGAAATAGGGTCAGTCAATTAAAAAAAATATTTGGAGAATAAGAATTCTGGTGTGTTGAGGTGGTGATGCAGGCAAGGATGGGGTGGAGGGTGGGGTAGAAACAAACACATTCACCGACAGCCCCACCTAGTCTAATGAGGAGACTTCTAAACATGAGTGGGTGAAGACCAGAGGTTTCCTCTACTCAAGGAGCTTAGAGATGGCACTTTGGGGTTAACAATAGTGACACTCTCCAACCACCCCGTCTATCTTTAGATAAAGAGGCAAACAAGTGATTGGACAAGAAGTCTGGCTCAGCTCAGCCAGATAACCAAAGGGCAAGTGCAGGAGCTGCAAAACTGACAGTGAAGCCTGCACTCGAGCTCAGGGGCCTAAAGCAGATTTGCTCAAACAAGACTGATATTCAGGGACCCTTGCACTTCACTGAAACAACGTGAAGAAGTTAAGAAGCTAAGTAACTTCAAAACCATACCTGCTGGCCGAGCGCAGTGGCTCACACCTGTAATCCTAGCACTCTGGGAGACCAAAGTGGGAGAATCGTTTGAGCTCAGGCGTTCAAGACCAGCCTGAGCAAGAATGAGACCCCGTCTCTACTAAAAATAAAAAGAAATTAGCTGGACAACCAAAAATATATAGAAAAAATTAGCCAGGCATGGTGGCACATGCCTGTAGTCCCAGCTACTCGGGAGGCTGAGGCAGAAAGATCGCTTGAGCCCAGGAGTTTGAGGTTGCTGTGAGCCAGACTGAGGTCACAGCACTCTAGCCTGGGCAACAGAGTGAGACGATCTCAAAAAACAAACAACAAAAAAAAGCACCTGCTTTTGCCTAGCAAATGATCCCACCAGAAGCAACCAGTGCTGCATAGCCAAAGCCAAACCAATGCAAAGGCACTCTGAAAACACAAGAGTGAGAAGTCAGTGCCAATCACATTTTGAAAACAAACCACATAATTGTAGGATGGGATTAAAAGGTCATCATTCCAGACCCAGCCTATCACTGTACAAATGCAAATAAAGCCTACAGAGGTTGGATGACTTGAAGAGGGTCACACAACTCGTCAGTGGCAGAGCTGGGGCTCAAGTCCAGTTCCCTGGCCCGCATGTTCAGGGATCCTCCACCCCCAGGCTGTCCCTGGCAGCCTACTCCTAGGGCTCTTGTCAGCTGAGGAAAAGAACTCTGGTGTCGAGAAGCTCCTGGCTATTCCATTCCCATTTACTGTGCACTTACAGAGGGCCGGTGTCCTTCTGCATTGTTCTCTTCTCACTCTGTCCAGACAGGAGACTACACCAGGCCTGCACCTGCAGAGGATGGGCTGGACCACAGCTGGTTAAAGCACCAGCTCTCCATCAGTCGGAAAGAAGTGGTTCCAAGTTCCAGCTGTCGCCCTCAGTAGCTAAGAAGCAAAGGGCAAGATACTCAACCTCTTTAAGCCTGAGTGTCCCTCAGTGTATCACAAAGATAACAATGGTACCACTGTTCCCGGCTGTTGTGAGCATTCAGTGGGGGTAAGTGGTAAAAGTGCTTGGCACACAGTAAATACTGAACAGATACCATTTTCATAACAACCTCCATTCTAATAACACAGGCCCAAAGGAAACTAAGCAACATCCACTGACCCGCTCTGTCCTAGTAATGTGTTAACCATTTCATCAGTTGCCAAGTTATTATCAACTGGAAAGCAAGTGCTCCTATACTCTTAATTCAACTATTTTAACGTCTCTTTTGAGAGGAGGAGTGGTGCTGCTTTCGGCTCCTGCCCCAAGAATCAAATTATTTCAATACTCAACGTTTGTAAAACTTTTGGAAACTTCTGCATCCAACTCACAGTTCTTGTTAGACTGAGGAGGAGTGAGGAGGATAAAATACATGGAAATCCGAGTCATCATTACATGTGACATTGCACCCATGGAAAAGTAACTCCTATTTTCTTAAAGAAAAGTAGCTTGTATGCAGTGAGCCTAAGAAGATGGAAAGCAATACAGGCTACTTTTGTGCTGTTTAAAGACTTAAGTTTCCATGAAAGGGGTCATGAATTCGAAGAGGCATTGAGTGTCGAGACTTTTAAAGAGGAGCAGCGCAATCTCCCTGAAGCTAACCAATAATACGCAACATCGGCGAGCACTTGCCTCGGGGGCTCAGGGGGTCCCCAAGATTCACAACCCATCAGAATGGAAGCAGAAAACGCGCCACGAGTGAAGCACCTACAGCGCGGCCTAAAGCCCCCGCCTGCGGTCAGGGGCACCAAAAGCAGGCGGCAGTGGGGCCTCTGAATAATTCCTAAAAGTCGAAACACTTATAAAATAATAATAAACCTCCAGTACGCGAACTGGGCTCCCGACAGTCTGCGCAGGACGCAAAGGGCACGCGAGCGGCCTGGCAAGGAAGCGCGGACCCACCGGAAATTGCGCGGCGCGCACTCGGCGTCCCGGGGCGGGGCGGGGCACCGGCCGGGGGCGGGGCTGGGAACGACGAGTCATAGCGCGCGCCCAGCACCCAGGAGGCGGGGCACCGGCCGGGGGCGGGGCTTGGGACGAAGAGTCATAGCGTACCCAGAACCCAGGGGGCGGGGCACGGGGCGGGGCATCGCGGCACGCGGCGCCTACCCGGGAGCAGGGCGGAGCTTTGGACGAGGAGTCCTGAGCCTCCCCTGAGTCCCCGGCCTGGCACGGGCAGGGGCCGACCAGCACCAGTCCCAGTTCAAAGCCCGCGGGACCAAAAGCTGGAAACCCAGAGTTGGAATCGGGTCTTGCTCAAGGCCCCTGAGCTGGGCCAGGCAGGAGCTGCAGGCTACCGAAGCTGGAGGAGGGCATCTGAAACTGGATTCTGAAAGACCCCAATGATAGAAGGACAGGTTACCTGGTGTAAACCAGATGCGGGCCATCTGGTAGAATTGTCACTCTATTGTTACAGGAAGGGACTACCTTCTACCCTGCAGAGAATGTGGTGGCCTCAGAATCATGTGGCTCACTTCGCAGTATGCGTTTGTTATAGGGAGTGAGGTTACTCAGAAGCATCTTAAAGGGGGAGAGAGACCAAAATAAATATAATTTCCACCAACCTCTGTGGATCCTGAGTGTCCACAGCATGACATTAACTGCATTCCCACTACAGAGCTGCTTCTCTTCCGTATTTTCTGAACCACCATTCACTCAGTTGCTCTACACTAAAATTTGGCGTCATTCTTCTCCCTCTCCTTCATCCCCAACTTCTCAACAGTCAACATGGACAAGTCTCACAAATATAATCTTCAGTGAATAAAGCAAATTGCAGGGCATACACATTCTAAAAGAAAAACTTTCCACTTGCAGTAGCACTTACCTTCCAGGATAGCAAAACTGAAGCCTGGGCTTATAACCCACCAAAGCTGATAATGACTAAGAACTCAGAGCAATTCCAGTATGCCAGACCCTCACCAATTAAATGGAAGATTTTCCCAAACAATAAACAAGGGGACTTGTGTTACTCAGCTGGGAATGGATTTATGGACTCATTCCTCCCTATGCAGGAGTAAGCTCAAACCTTAGTTATATCCACCATGATGTTCCACCTCCCTTTCTACTTGAATAAACTGAACCTCAGAAAACTAAATTACCTACAGTCCCTCTCACTGGTAGAGCTACTATTTGAAGTAAGATCAAACTTCAAAGCCTCCCTCCACCGTTAACACTACAGTATACTGCCTCTTGTAGTGTCATTTCTCAACCAAAACATAGCTCTTCTGTGCATGTACAGTCCACCAAAACATGTCATAAATTGGTTTATGCTCCATTTCAGTTAGTCCCAGAGTAAGTCAATTATTGATTTGTGTTTCTAGTTTGCATTAACATCGTTAGGAGATAACTCAGCTGTTAACTAGAAGCTCACTGGATTACTGGAACCTATAAAGTTTTTGGCAATGGTAGAAAGAAAAGACAGAGAGAGAGAGAGTGGGGCCAAACAATGTAGCTTTATTGAGCACTCCCGACGAGGTTCAGGGGCCCCAAGAGAGGGGGGCCGAGAAGTCATGTCTGTTTGGAGGGGATGCTGGCCTTTATATTGTTTAGGGTGGACTAGGGACTAGGGACTTTTGGTGGGAAGAGCTGGGGATTTTCCACTGTGACCTTTGGTGGTCATTGAGAAATAGGAGGGGCTGGCAGTATTTGCAGAATCCAGGAACCAAAAACTTTATCTCAGTGGACATCAGGTGTTGTTTTCAGTGGGGCCTGGCAGTTGTCCTTGGCAGGTCTGGTCTGGTGAGCCTTTTCTTTTTGATCTAGGGAGGGGAGTCGGGCTGCCACCAGCCTTACAGAACCCTGAGCCACAAAAGTGTCAAAGGGATGTGACCAAGATTATGTGAGGGAATGTTAAGTTTTTAGCTTTTGGTCACTGGAGCCTAATAATGATTTTGGATTTTTTTCCCCATAAAGAAGCCTTGAGTCACAAGTGTGTCTGCTGCACACACATGTGTACACACACACACAGCAGTAGAGATCATCTGCCACAATAGAAGAGCTCATAAAGAAAGGAACTGTGCTTCAATTTAAGCCATATTTTATCATTTTTGGTGACTTGAATGTGTTGACTTTACAAATTAACAGGTCCCTGAACAAAAACTTCAAAAACAAATCCCAAGTCACAGTGTTTCAATGTAATTCGTGTCCACCAAATATCCACCATACCAATTCTTACATCTTTGGGACTATTTTAGAGCTTTGCTTGAAAAGCAAAATCATCCATTCAATAAGCTTTTCTCCAAGAAATAAATGAAATTATGAAAACAATCATCTATTTTTTCAACCTACCTTTGCTGGTTGGCAAGTAAAATGGTGCAGCCACTGTGGAAAAGTTTGGCTGTTCCTCAAAAGGCTAAACAGAACTACTGTGTGAGCCAGTAATTCCAATCCAAGAAAATTGAAAAGAAACTCAAACACTTATTTGTAAGCCAATGTTCATTATTCATAATAGACAACATTATTCACATTAGACAAAAAGTAAAAACAACCCAAGTTTCAGTCAACAAATAGACAAAATGTGGTATCTAGTAATATATACAATGGAATATTATTCAGCCATAAATAGGGATGAAAGTCTGACACATGCTACATGGATAAACCTTGAAAATATTAAGTGAAATAGGCCAGACAAAAAGGACAAATATTATATGATTCCATTTATATGTTCCAGAATGGGCAAATCCACAGAGATAAAAAGTAGAATAGAGGTTACCAGAGACTGGGTGGAGAGGGAGAGGGAGTTATTACTTAATGGGTAGAGTTTCTGTCTGGGCTGATGAAAAAGTGGTCATTGTTATACAACAGTGGTAATTGATGCCACTGAATTGTACACTTAAAAATGGTTACAATGGCAAATTTTGTTATATATATAACTACAATTCAAAAAAAGAGAAAAACTGTCAAGGTCATGTAAAAGAAGGAAAGACTGAGAAAATACCACAGATCAAAGAGAAAGGAAACGTGACAACTAAATGCAACATGGTAACCTGGGTTGGATCCTAGGACAGAAAAAGACATTAATGGAATAACTGATGAAACCAGAATAGACTGTCATTGAGTTAATAGTCATGTATCAATATTAATTTCTTAGCTGTGACAATCATACCATGGTTATGTAAATGTTAACATTAGCAGAAGCTGGGTGAAGGTATATGGAAACTGCACTATCTTTGGAATTTGTTATTCCAAAACAAAAAGGTTGTTTTGTTTTTTTTTTTTAAATAAAGGACAGGGCTAGACTAGATGAACTCCCTTCCAGCTCCGGCAGCCTGATACTGAATTGCAGGTGCATAAAGTACACTTATTCTTTAGCTATCCAGACTTGCTGAGGTCTCTCAAAGACGGAAAGCTGTATGACAGGCCATGTGAGGAATGAATAGGCAATAAATGAAATATATTTCAAAGGGTGAATTCTTTCTTCTTCATGTTTCCTCCCTTCCCTACTTACTCCCCACCCAACTTCCTTTTTCCCCAATGCTCAGAAACTATGCTGGTACAATAACAAGTGGAAAGGAGGCTTGTTCCTTAGGCTTTACCATCCCTTTGCTCTGAGCCTTGAATTTCTATTTTTAGACCAAGTCCATATACTTTTCTCATCAACACCTCATTTCTAGTGAGACCACCTGTCTTAGTCCATTTTGTGCTGCTATAACAATACCTATCACTGAGAATTTTATTTAAAAAAAACAGTGATTTATTTCTTACAGTTCTGGAAGCTGGGAAGTCCAAGGCTAAGGGGCTTGGATCTGGTGTGGGCTTTCTTACTATGTCATCCCATGGCAAAAGGCAGAAGGGCAAGAAAGCACAGCTGAGGATGAAAGGGGAAAGGGGCCAAATTCATCCTTTTATTAGAAACCCAAAATCCCATGATATAAGACTCCTGAGATAATACTCCAGTGAAAATGGAATTAATCCGTTCATGAGGGTGGAGCCCTTATGATCTAATCACCCCTTGAAGGTCCCACCTCTCAACACCGTTGCATTGGGGATTGTTTCCAATAAGTGAACTTTGGGGTATACATTCAAAACACAGCACCAACCCCTCTTTGCCACTAGGGATATAATTGTGGCTGAGAGCAATAAGATTCTACAAATCTGGAACCTAAGTATCCCCTAAATAAACCTGAATCAGATAGAAAGTGCAACTCACTTCTATGCACCAGGAAAGAGATCAAAGTTCAAAGCTGCAACCAAACCACAGAGAAGTTAGGATAGCGAATTGCTACAAAATTAGACACCATGAAGATTCCAAGTTGTATTACATTAACTTACCTAAAAATCCACATTTCTATTCAACCCCTTTCAAAATTAGGCTCACTTTTTATAACAATACCAAGCTTTATCACAGATTTTTATCTCCTTTTTTTTAAAAAAAGATTTATTATATTTTTTAAGAGAAGGGGTTGCACTCTGTTGCCCAGGCTGGAATGCGGTGGTAAGATCATAGCTCACTGTAACCTTGAACTTCTGGGCTCAAACCATCCTCCTGCCTCAACCTCCTGAGTACCTGGACTACAGGCTTACAATACCACACCCAGGTAATTGATTTTAATTTTTGTAAAGACAGGCTACTGTGGTTCTGAGGTTAATTAACTGTCCCACAGTTAACAAGTAGCTGACCCATGATTTAACCAGCATCCTGCCTGGCTCCCACATTCCTCCTCTTCCCTCTCAGCATAGACTGATAGAGACCTATGCAGCAGTGGGATCCAGGTACAGGTTCCACTCGAATCAGTTCACAAAGTCAGATTTAGTTATATGTTTAGAAGTTCTGGAGACTGTGTATTCTAGCAAGATGGATCTGTCAGATCAGCAGATGCCAGAACAAAATCGGGATCTTTTCACTGATGAGAACAGCTTTATGGACAACAAAGGGCTGGACATGCAGTGATCATGTCAGTGACATTGTCACCTGGGACTTCAGCCCAAAAAGCTGAGCTAATTGCTTTAACCATGACAGTTACCCAGAGAAAAAAAGGTAAACATTTATACAAACTCTAAATATACTTGCTTTGGTCCAGCCTTTTCTGAGGCACATACATGAATACACACATTATGAAGTTGATGCCTTAATAAATTTGGGGAGACCTCACTTGGGAGGACCCTGTTTATAACAGTTTATGTATTCAGGGCAGTCCATGCAAAAAAAAAACAAAAACAAAAACAAAAAAACCAAATAACAATGACACAATTTCACCCAGATGCCTAAGTTTGTATTGATAGATACCTTTTCAGGCTGGATAGAGACTTATCCTACCTGCACAGAAAAAGAGTTGGAAGTTGGCAAAATCCTCTGAAGGAACTTACTCTGAGATGGGCTATTACCAGGAGCTGCTATCTCAAAACACAGCCTTCACCGAGTTCCTGCGTGTGTGGTGGAGTTGCTGTGGGTGTACCCCGCACAGAGCAGGAACAGCCCTTGGAGGACGATGGATGGCAGACACCAACAGTCCAGGAAAAGAGGCCAAAGAGATAGAGAATGACATGTGGTGACAGACACGGTGGACATGTAGCCACAGAGACAACACAACAGCTCAAGACACCACTGTGCTTGGCTTCTCCATGGCAGTGCCCATCAGCGGAATCCCTGCTTCCCACCAGCTACACCTGAATCGGCTGCACAAGGTCCTGTGGTCACCCATGGACTTCTCTGAGTAGACCCCCAGTGAAAACCCGGGTGAAGCATTTCTGCAAGGCTGGACACGGTGGACTCAGTGATCCCTCAGGTCGTCAAGGTGTTCACAGGCTCTCCTCCTCCACACAGAGGGACAACAGACCCTCCTTTCTGTTAGAGGTCACCCAACAAATAAACTGAGCCCTACATCTAAAACAGAAATCACCTACTGTAAGAGTGGAAACTCACTCGGTGTTCATGGCAGTTGGAGAAAGACTTCAAACACAGCGATTAGGATATATGGAAGTAAAAGTCTGTTTATTTTTCTGAGAAAGAGAGAGAGAAACAGAGAGATTGAAGGAGGGAGTGGCCATGGCACACAGAGGAAGGAAGGAAGTGCCAGGCAGGTGAGGGAAAGTTGCTGGCAGTTTTCTTTGTTTTTTTTTGTTTGTTTGTTTGTTTGTTTATTTGTTTTGAGACAGTCTCTCACTCTGTTGCCTGAGCTAGAGTGCTGTGGCATCAGCCTAGCTCATAGCAACCTCAAACTCTTGGGTTCAGGCAATCCTCCTGCCTCAGCCTCCCGAGTAGCTGGGACTACAGGCATGTGCCATCATGCCCAGCTAATTTTTCTATACATTTTTAGTTGTCTAGCTTATTTATTTCTATTTTTTAGTAGAGATGGGGTCTTGTTCTTGCTCAGGCTGGCCTCGAACTGAGGTCTAACGATCTGCCCGCCTTGGCCTCCCAGAGTGCTAGGATTACAGGCATGAGCCACCATGCCCGGCCCAGCTAATTTTTCTATAAATTTTTAGTTGTCCAGATAATTTCTTTCTATTTTTTTAGTAGAAATGGGGTCTCGTTCTTGCTCAGGCTGGTCTCAAACTCCTGAGCTCAAACGATCCAATCCGCCCGCCTCGGCCTCCCAGAGTGCTAGGATTACAGGCATGAGTCACCACACCAGGCCTCCTTGCAGTTTCAAAGGGTAGAGATGGCTTTTTATCCTTCTGCTTCAACAGACTGACAGCAAACAGAAGTGGTGGCGAAGCTGTTGCAGGTGCTCTTTGCTTTATTTTCTCTGTGAGGCAGGTTTATCTGAGTCCTTGGAATCTGTTTTTTGACAGGAACTGAGGCAGAGAGTTGGAGTGGGGAGTTCACACCCTACTGTCCACGGAGGGCTCTTCAAGGCTAAGAAAAGGAAACTCTTAGAGACAATGAGTTTGGTCACAGGTGTTTAATTAAACACAGCAAAGGGGGTAGTTGTGAGTTTTGTCTTCTAAGGGGCAATTATGTGCTGTGAGTTTACTTCCCTTACTTTCTGTTTGATAGTGTCTTGTCCTATGTTAGGTAGCTGATTAGTAAAGCCGCCTTTCACATACATCACAGAAGTAATGCAGAAAAGTAAGATAAGATATTACCACTTCCTCTCCTCCATATAAAGATAGCACTTAAAATCAGGCTTAAGTTAAGCCCCTAAAAAATAGTTTATGAGTGACCCTTCCAAACAACCTGAGGTAAGTGTGGTAATAGAAGCATGGCTAAAAAAAATAACACGTCAAACAAGTGGGTCGGGACTAACCACTATACTTGAGTTTGCTTCATTTAGGTCCCCGCCACAGTTAGGAACAGAGAAGTAAAAGACACCCTATAAGGTGCCTCAACAACTCACACCTCTTTAAAATTGTCAAAAATAGGAATCAGGGGTCGATTACACCAGAGTAAAGAGGTGTCCCATGGAAGAAGAGGACCCAAGACCCCAGTGGAGGGGCCAGCCTTTAGGTGATCTAAAATATCTATTAAAAAAAGTAAAAATGTTGATATTTTTACTAAATTTTCTTTGATTATTTGTTCTGTTTATAAGATAGACAACTTCTTAATGAGGATTTCCCCAGGCAATCCCCCTTCCTATATTAATCTATTTTACTACTGGGTTTGTTACCCTAAACCTCATTTGGTCCATGTGTTTCTGTATAAGATTTCTAAATTTACAAAAGCTGGTTTCTCAGATCACCTACAGGGGCCAACTAATAGCTCTATGCTCAGAGGTCCCATGTTTCCTTTCTAAACCAGCCCCGTATCAGACTTTGTGTACAAGGCGACAATCCATTTTGTCTTGTCAATCCTCACTACTATTACTTATAACTTTTATTGACCTGATAATCTGTTGTTGTAAATATACTGCCAAAGCTTTATAAGGACATATATAAATATAAACCTTCCATCTATATCACCTAATTCAACAAAAAGTAGCTCAATGACAACATCACCCCTCCTCCCATAGATAGGGAGGAGGATATGGAAGGATAAAATTGACAATGGGGAATATGAAAAAGAATGGCCTGGAAAAAATGGTAAAAATGTTTTCTTCTGTTTAAAATGTTCTCACTCTTTTTGAGAACTACATCCCTGCCTCTGGCCAGTGGTTGGGAGAGGCAGGGAGTGTCTTTTGTTCTTTGTACTACAGGAGATGGCTCAGCAGAACTGCCCAACTGAGGCGGGGTCCAGACAGGCAGAGGTCTAGGGGGAACTCATAGAGATTATCTTCCCTAGAGATGGGAAGAATCAGAATCATCAACTGTAGTTGAACAGCAATTGCCTGAAGCTAAAAACCCTCCATTGAAAAACTCTGTATTTCCCCTTATGATTGGGATGACGGCATTTTAGACAGGAGTCTCCATCCTTGTTTACTGGCAAATTGCTAAATCTCTCTTTCCTGCTCCTCATACCTCTTGTCCTCATTATTCTGATGGGGACTTGGGGACAAGTGATGAGCTCCTGGTAACAAAGGGAGGATTACATTTTAGTTCCTTTCTAAATTGTACTTAATTGACACATAATAGATTGACATATTTTGGGGGTACATGTGATAATTTGATACATTCATAGCATCATATGGGTAATTGGGATATCCATCACCTTCACTATTTATCTTTTCTATATTCCAGCAACATTCGAATTATTCTCTTGTGTTAATTTTAAAATGTATAACTGATTAATATTCATGATAATCATTCTTAAATTTTCTTTCAGTTCTTCATAAACATCAGGTGTATGTCATTCTGAAGAATCTGAGGGTCTTTTTCATTGGCTGTCTTTCTTTTATAAATTTGCATTTAAAACAAATTCTATCATATTTTGTAATGTGGAAAGGTCCTTCTCTCATTAACTCCACTATTGCTGCAGTGTTTTTATAATAATCTGTCACCTTGACTCTCTTATTCAATCATTCTATTTATCTTGCCCTTCTCACAGGAATTCTTCCCCTTCATCCCTTTCTCATCTACATGTCTGTTGAGCAGTCCTTTTGGCTTGCTTTCTAATTCTCTGCTCACACAATGGAAATTCAAAGAATTCTTTACTCCCAACCAAACTTTAAAAATCTCAATCCTATACATATCTCTCTCTTGTGATTACACTGCTTTCTATTATGATCTTGAGGATGTACATTTCTACGATCCTTATCAGCATGATGAGGATCAGGGGTGGTATGTGAAAAAAGCATGGATAAAAGAAGGGGTTTTTGTTGTTGTTGTTGTTGCTTAAACTAACTTACCTCTGTAAGACCTGGCTTAGTTGAAGACTTGAAGGAAGCTTTCAGACGAGGGCCAGGTGATTGAATGGAAGGATTATGAAAGCCCTGCATTTTGACTGATGTTGTTGGAAGGCTTTGAACCACATGTGGATGATTAGAAATACTGTCCTCAAACATGGTTCCAATTTCTGTTCTCACAGTACATTTGGTTTCTACTATCATAAAAATAAAGAGCATATGAAAATATTTTTAATTAAATAACAATAGATAACACAAGAACAGAAAATCTTCAAATAGCTTACTGATTTTCATGGGTTGCTGAGAAGCAGTCATTGGCTTTGTTACCCCTGTTTGTGGAACATTCTAGAACAAAAAAACAACAGGTTTAAGAATAACAAGTATCAAAGTGGATAAATTAAAAAATATTCACCATTACTATAAGATCTAACACAAAATACACAGACTGTGGAGTCACTCGGATATAGACACTACCCTCAATTCTCTGATTTATTCATCTACATCTTCTCATGAAGAGAGGATTATGATAGCTCATACAGATATCCTCAAAATATTACTCGCCTCACCCCTACTTCATTATTGTACAAACATTATGATAACCATTAGATTATTTTCATAATAAGAATAACCTAGGACAAAAATTTTCTCATATAGTTTAGAGCATTTTTGAAATAAGTAACATTAAGGAACTTAACATTAATCATGTTTTATATTTTGACATATGTTCGCATGATTTATCTTTGTATGAATTATCTCTTGCCCAGCAATATATGACAGTTTAGCTTTTAGTAGTACATTATACAAAAGAGTTCACACTGCAAATAGTACAAGTCACTTCTATCATGTTCCTAAAAATGCTAAAGATAAATGATTGTATCCACTCAGGGTTTTGCAAGAAAGAGAGAAGTAAACAATCCTGTTGGGCAATCATGGATGAAGGAAAGTCACACATAGCTACTAAATAGAAAGCTGTAACTAAATATGGAGACAGAGTGGGAATGAAAGGACAGACACTGAAGAAATGTCTTCTGCAAGAAAAATTTCGGTGAGTGTAAAACCATTTCAAAAGGTAGGGGAGCATGGAGAAACACAAATAAAAAAAGAGACATTCTCACTCAATCATGAACATAAATCTAGGAGGAAAAAGAAAAACATTCAGAACAATGAGATATATAACAAACACTTCTGTTCATAATATATCCACAATAATAATGCCTAATATTTACTGAAGAGTTACTTTTTTTCTCTACTTCTGTGGACTTTAATTTTATTGCTATAAAATAAGACATTCAAGTAGTTAAACATGGTCATCTATCACTACCTGAAAGCGAATCTTTATTGCTACAGAGAGAAAAATGGAAACAGAAACATTTCATTAATTTCTACTTGGAGAAAAAAATGCACAACCAGAATTCTAAAGAGTACTGTGTAGCTCGTAATGATATTATCTATTAAAGATATCTTTGGAAGTCCCCACTAGGAAAAGCATAGAGTGGATACAGGCAGAATGCCTGACTAGAGACACTGGGCACCAGATCCTGTGAGAAAGAACAGAAAGTTTGAGATGATAAGGCACAGCCCACGTATAATTCTGAGGAAAGAGTGCCAGAACCTGCCACAGATCCCATGGGAAAAAGCCTCAAGACAGAATAAGAAGGAGCAAGATTCTGGCAGATAGAGACCCCAGAGGAACTGGAAGCCCCGTGGAAAGGTAAGGTCAGAATGTCTGTTTTCCTCCCCTAACACGCTGGCAGTCTGCAGGCTCTGAATCTTTCAGACAGCTCCCCTCTGCTCTTGAGAACTCAGCACCAGGCTTCCAGCCCCGTGGAAGATGCTCTCCCTCACCATACACCCGAGCACATGCAGTGAGCCACATGCTGCTTTCGTGCCCGTTGTGTGTCTTTGTCCTGCCCAGAGAGCTTCAGACTCTCAGTGTCTTATTTTTCTTTTCCATAGACTCACCACAAATATTCCACAACACACACTCAGACAGCCGCAGCCACAGTTGGCAAGTGAATCCTGGGTGAACTGTGTGATCCCAAACCTGGGACATTCCAGCCAGGCTGCCTATGGGTCAGAGTGCAGCATAGCATGCCAGAAGGGCTCCTTGGGACATAGGGGACAGGAGTGCCAGGTCTCCTCCTTTTAGACTCTTCTCTTCCTCCTTATCCTCCTCCCCTCCCCTACCCACCGCTGCTGACGCAGCCATGGCCATTTCTGCTCAGGGCTGGCATGGGCACCCCAATAGATGGCTATGCCACGGCAATCAGGAGCAACTCCCTCCCCTTTGTCAGTGTTCCCACCATACTCCGGATGCCACAGATAGTGTGCCTCACACCTCTCCCCTTACGAAACTGCAATAATCAAAGGGGAACTCTGAGCATGAGGACCCTGCCCACAGGACCTCCCTAGTCCTGCCCTGCCTGGCTGCTCCAGCACAGTGGGTATTACAAGGACATTAATCCTCCCTGAGTACTCCATGGGCAACTTAGGACCAAAATGCCTCTCCCCATCACAGTTTGGGTTTCGACTCATCAGATGGAAGGCCAGCTCTGCAGGCCTTTCCCATTCCCCCAGGACTCAATCACATCATTCAGGGGCATGGATACGTGTGAACTGACCTGAGAACGGAGGGAGCCCACCCAGGCAGAACCAAATGCAGAGTTCACTGGGGGTCTGAGCCATAGCGAACTTGCCAACTTGCCCAGTACCCCACCCCTCCCAAGATGGGCATGTTTTCTGTCAGGGCCAGGGTCCTGTGAAAGGAAGCGAGAAGCTTATAGCCTAGAGACTCATTGTTCAAAAATTTAGTTGGCTTGGACTGCTGCCTGTGACCAGATGCCAGAGGAGAACTGCAGGGCAAGGGAAGTGGCAGGAAAGTGAAACCCACTCCTGTCTGCTGGACTGTGAATTCCTGACTTCCCCTCCCACATTAGCAGACTTGTTGGCATGGTGGGAACACCCCAGCCCCTAACTGGTGGCTATCCTCAGCGGTCTGAGACATGACCCTCGTCCCCTGCTGAGACCGCATTTGTATCCACCTTTGTGGAGCCTGAACATGCTGTCCCAAACCATCCCCACCCAGTCTCACTTGCCTCTCCCCCACAGCTGTGGTGCAGCACAAGAGGGGGTCCCCTGGGCGATCCAGGAACCCACCCATTGCCTGGGACATCGAAGTGCTTCTCATGATTGGCTGAGGCTAAAAACAGGTCCCCAAAACCCCAGTGCAGTGGCCTCTCTCCTGCAAGCAACATATACTGACAAGTCAGTCAACTTGTATGGGTCCCCACAGCATTTACTCATTCCATTGCATAGGATTTGGCAGACTTTTACCCACAGGCACCACCTACTGACTTCAAGATTAAACTTAAGGTCCCAATATGATTCATGCTGTTAAGTCTACAGGGTTGGGAAAGAGGAAAGATAACAACAACCTCCACCTCTCCATCTCAACAAGAGGCAGGGTTTGAGAAACAGAATTCAAATTTCTAAATATCCACATATTTTTTTTTTCTATTTAGGGACACAGTCTCACCATGATGCCCAGATTATCTTGAACTGCTAAACTCAAGCAATCCTCTCACCACAGCCTCCCAAGTGGCTGGGACAACAGGCTCACGTCACCATGCCTAGCTAAAGTTCTGCTACTTCTAATACTATTTCAGTCTAAACAGAGCACTAAGGCTATTAATAGAGAAAAAGATCTGTCCTGAAAACTATATGATGCCAAAATAACATGTGTCTAAGAGAAAAAAGAGGAACTCTATGCTATGTATTATACAGTTTTGGAAATAAAAGGCACGAGGGAGATTCCATGATCAGTGTAGTAAGCAACTGGATGCATTAAAGAGTAATTCAGACATAAGTATTGTAAGAGTCATGTCACTATGATCTAAAAGTAACAGTGAGGACACAGACACATATGCAAATACACTTGGACCAAATTTCATAGTTCCTCTACTATGGGAATACTTTACCTAATATAATTTCCCTGTCACTCTGTACTTTCTAGACCATTCTTTTTTTATCCAGCCCCACCCCCTCAAAAGTATTTATCAATCCTTTCTTATTTACCAAAGTAAAAATTTAAAGAAAAAAATTCAAGGGGTGCTATTTCTATGAAATGGTGTTCTCTGAACAACTCTCTATTACAAAGATAAAACCATGATAGGTAGACCACTGCTAAATATTATGAGTAAATACTATGGAAAGCTAGATCCAGAGCGAAAAAATTAATTTCATAAGAGACCACTGTACCTTGGTATCAACATCGAAATGTCCAACAAATGACTCAGGCCAAAAATCATCAATACCCGGTTTGATGGAAATCCTTTACAACAAAAATAAACAACAGAAATAAGCCATGTCATTTCCTTAAAAGAAAAACATTGGCCAGTTCTTACCTGGGTACCCACTCCCAAATAAAACATAAGAATCAGGTGAAAGGTCATCTACCACTATAGTAAATGCTGTTTCTTGGTAGAATTAATATTTGATCTCTGATTTAAGAAAGATTTTATTACCTGTTCTCTCTCTACCTCTCACAATTTAGGAAATATTCAGTGAAGACTTACTTCTAGCTCTATAACAATTAGTGACAGCTAATACATGGACAGAGCCTAAGAATAATATGTCTTCACAAATAGCCTGTCCAGTTAATGGCTGACATAACTGATGTTACCTGAACTGGAACAAATCTGATAATCTGAAACAAGGTAGAAAGATAACACCGCCCCTTCTCCATTATCTACCTCTGGTTCAAAGACTAATCTGTATCACTCAAGATTGGCAGTCTTGGACCTTCGGTATGGAAACCCTTTCTGAAGGCCCCATTGCTTTGCTTTACCCTCAAACAGCACAAAAAGTACCCCAAAACATTTGAAAGTTAAATGTGCAAAAGTCAAAGAACAAATGCATACACATTGATAATTAGTATAGGGAAAAAAGGGAAAAAAAAACCAGTAAATACATATGTTGTTATTAGGAATACTCTTCCCAGAAAGAGTAAAGAATTAAAAATTATAAAATCCAATTATTTCCCCTATATAGGTCCTGCCTTTTCAGGTCCACATAAATTAGCAAACCCTTAAAAATCTTCATAGGCACCCAGATACTGAAGCAGAAAGACTTCTGGAAAAACAGAATCCTGGTAGTTGTAATTCTATTTCCCAAAGTACTATCTAAACATCTTCCTTCTTATGGGCTCCCATTTCCAGATCCCTCCCTCTTCCTCAGGATCCATGGCAGTCTCCAATCTCTAAATATTCAGCCTAAGACAGCACAGATTCCTGAAAGGATAGGCCCAAATGACCAAGAGCAGATCTCTATTTCCCTGCTACTAGAAAACAAGTTAAAGGGACCCTCAATCATCCTTTCCCAGCCCAAGCATGTTACAAACTACCCAACTGAAGCTCCATGAGTCATTTCCCAGCCATTCCTACCCCTGACTTCCCTACATGTACACAGGAAGGACATCAGTGAATTGGGAAAAGAGGCAGAGGAGACACTAGACCTGGGACACAAATCTGTATTTCAGGAACCTCCAGACCCTAGTACTCAAGGGACTGTAAGCCAGTCCTCTGTAACTTGGGGTGGAACTAGATGATACCACATTCTGATCTGCTCTACAGATTCTTCCTAAAGTCTTCAAACATCTTTCAATAACAACCTCCAAATCTGTTAGTTCTTCCAATTAAACAACAACAACAACAAAAGCAAGCTTTTCAGGACTCGCTTTGAGTCCTCTATTTTAATATACTCTTCTAGATAACTCCTGACATCTTGTGTCCTTCATTCCTATGATTCAGTCTTTATAAAACTTGTCAGATACCCCAATATTCCAATTTCTTTTCTAAAACACTTATTACTATACAACCCTGTGTTGTTTCTTTTCGAACTTGGTGTTTCCCTGCTAATTCCATTCATATCCACTTCCATTGAGTTAATTAGCTGATTCAATTCTTATCCTTCTCCATTGCCTTCACTAGACCCACTCACCCTTTCTATTAATAAAACACTCACCTACAGGATGATAAACAAGGAAGAGTACTGGGCTTTCAATTAAGAAACCTGAGTTCACCATCTCATTTCTCACACTCAGTATCTCCAAATGAGTTAGTTTAATCTCTTTGACTTTCAGGTTCTTAACCTGAGTAACCACTAGGCCAGGATGTTAAACACAGGTTGAATTCCTAGAGAGTATTTTGCTTGATCTGTAAGATTGTTTAAAATCCTGAAATTCTATGAGCTTTGAATTTGCTCTATAGGAAAATGTGGAAGAGTTAGCTGGCAGAATGGGGAAAAACAAAACAGAACAAAAGAAATGCAAATAAGGAAGAGAGGAAAGAAAACAAATCAAGACAATATTAGAGAAAAGTCACAGAAGAAGAAAAAAGATGCTAGGAAAAAAGAAAAATCTTCATGAACTAGGCAAGTGCAGTAGCCAAGGATAGTCTTACTGTCTATTTACTGAGAAGTCAGTGAGTACAAAGATCAATCAGAAAAATTCTCTAAATAGATGCTAAGTATAATTAACAAAACATGGCCTATATGTAGATATCCTTCACTTATAGGAAATTAATTCCTCTCTAAGACTTGCCTGGTCTTGCTTATGTTAAACTTATGGTCCTGTGGCCACAGCAAAATACGATCTGCCCTCAAACTTTTGATGGCAAAAACAAGGACAACTGTAATTGTTGAATATATCAGGACAAGCTCTTGACTAACCAAGCTTCTAAAGGACACTTTTGAGGAGAGTTAACATATAACTAAATCTGACTTTCTGCATTGAGGTCAGTTGGACCTGTACCTGGATCCCAGTGTTGCATAGGTCTCTATCATATGTTCAGGGGAAAGAGGATGGATTTGGGAGCCAGGCAGGATGCTGGTCAAATCATGGGTCAGCTGGCTGTTAACTATGAGATCATGGGACAATTAGTCAACCTCAGAACCACAGTAGCATAATTCCTAAACAGTAATAGCACAAGCACTTTGCAAAGCATTTGGGATGACTATATCAGATGATCAATGTTAAGTACATGATATGCTTCTAGCCCACAATAGAACACTCATCAAATATTAGTTTCTTTGCTTTGTATTCCCCCAGTGAACACATAATTTTTGAAAATATGTAAAATCCTACCTGAACACGGGGTCTTCAGTAATCTCATCCACTATTAAAGAAAAAAGTAAAATGCATTTTAAATTAATAATATAAAAATTATGGAATATTAAAAGCCTAAGATGGCACGGTGACCTATAATGCCAAGGTAATTAAAAGGCTGAGGTGAAAGGACTGCTTGAGGCTGACACTTCAACACTGCAGTGCGCTATGATCATACAAAATCACTGGATATACTAGATCACTGTACTGCTAATCGCAGAGTTCCTCTTATTTGTTTCTAATTTTTCTGTTCTCGAAACTAAAAACACTGTTCACCTACTAAAGCTCTTGACAGAACAAGTCAAAAAGTGCACACAGTTGCATCCGATGCATAGGATGAGTTATACACTGCTCCGAGACAGATGGCTGTGACCATTAAAAACAATAGGACCTCTAAGTTATTTGGAGGGTAATGGGGGTTTATCATATAGACAGACAGATACAGATAAATATAGATAGATATACATAGATAGTTAAAAGTGTGGTAATCCAAGCCACCACATATTCCAGTTAAATCACAGATTACCAACATCTGAACAAATATAATACCAGAAAAGCACTTCACATGAAAACTGTATCAGATAAAACAAATTGTATTTGACAATGCAGAAGACACTTAAAAAATCTTGGCAGACCATCATCAGTGACACTGTCATTGTGGTACACATATAAAGACGTTTGCCATTAGAATCTAAGAAAATACCAGATATACTTTAGGACAGGTAGCCAATTGTCTTCATAGGAAATAATAAATATTTGTCAGACATACATACATTAGCAATATGTTCTCACACTATTTTCGTTAGAGACGAAATTAAAAAGAAAACAGCAAAAGCAGAGATATCAGAAGAAGGCAAATGGAAAGAGAACTGCACTAATGAAAAGATTCAGGTACTGACTTTTCTACTGAAGTCACCAGAATTCCCCAAATACTGAGCACCAGTATATTCAGCATATCCTCTTATAGTTTTCTCCATATTTTCTATCAGTTTTCTGCAGCAAAGTATTTAAAAGATGTCAGTTTCTCCAAATTGCAGGTCTGTAATTCAATTGCTGACCAAAATTTGAAACCCAGTGAAAAACGTGGCTGTGTTATGATTTCACATCAGAGGAGGGCATGTGTGTCTCAGGGCGGCTTCCAGTGTTGCTGCCAGGTTTTTGTTTCAGAATGTGTGCACAAGAGCTTATCAAGGACTTGAGTACAAAGCAAATATTTCCACAATAAGCAGATAAGAATGAAAACACTTCCCCTTACAAGTGATCTTCAGGTTTTAACAATTTTGGAGAAATATTGGCACATGGACTCACCAGTCTAGACAATTTTCCTGACCCTGTGTTGACAGCTGATGCAGTTACAAAACTTTTAGGTAGCATCTTAGAAGATGTATTCTTCCATATCTGGACACCACAAATACCAATCACATACAAAGTAGACCTTACAACTTTAAAATTGTTGTTTTCAAAAAGGCACCACTACCGATGAGAAAGTTCAATCCAATTCACATTTTAGTCATTTTACTTGTCAGAATTTATAGTCTCCTACTTGAAATTCTCATGTTTTAAAAAAATTTTTAAAACATAACTTCCTCTGATTCCTTTCCTACATTTCTCTACCCACTGCTCAATCTTCTTTACTGACTCCTTTTCCTTTGGGAAAGGTGGATGTACAATGGTTTTGTCACTAGCCTTTTTCTCATTCTACATCTTCCCTATCAAGGAGAAGCTCATTCCAATCTATGACTTTGGTAATTACATTAACATTATTCTAAGTCTGCGACTCCAACCTTAGTATTCCACTTCCTGGTAGAAATGCCCATCATCCAATTACCAACTGAAAATATCCTACATGAACATCCCATTAAACTCAACATGGATAGAAAAAAGTTAGTCTTCCTTGTTGACCTGCTGCTCATCTCTATACACCTGACAATTTGCTACTCTTTCCTTGTGTCCAATTTAAACACTACTGCATAACCTGGAAACCTGTGAGTCAGATATCTGAGATTTCTCTCTGCCCTTAAATTTGAACATTCAATAACCACTAAATTCTATGAACTGTCCTTCTAACTCCTCTTTACATTTCTACCATCAAGTTTATATTATATTCTTAACTTCTGGCTCTCCTAGGAGGGAAAAAACCCACCAACTATTATCGTTACTTCTTTTTTTTTTTTTTTGAAACAGAATCTCGCTTTGTTGCCCAGGCTAGAGTGAGTGCAGTGGCATCAGCCTAGCTCACAGCAACCTCAAACTCCTGGGCTCAAGCAATCCTACTGCCTCCACCTCCCAAGTAGCTGGGACTACAGGCAATGCACCACCATGCCTGGCTAATTTTTTCTATATATATTAGTTGGCCAATTAATTCCTTTCTATTTATAGTAGAGACAGGGTCTCACTCTTGCTCAGGCTGGTTTCGAACTCCTGACCTTGAGCAATCTTCCTGTCCCGGCCTCCCAGAGAGCTAGGATTACAGGCATGAGCCACCGCGCCCACCCTATCATTACTTCTTTTTTTTTATTTTTTTATTTTTTTTTTTTTTGAGACAGAGTCTCGCTTTGTTGCCCAGGCTAGAGTGAGTGCCGTGGCGTCAGCCTAGCTCACAGCAACCTCAAACTCCTGGGCTCGAGTGATCCTGCTGCCTCAGCCTCCCGGGTAGCTGGGACTACAGGCATGCGCCACCATGCCCGGCTAATTTTTTTTTTTTATATATATATCAGTTGGCCAATTAATTTCTTTCTATTTATAGTAGAGACGGGGTCTCGCTCAGGCTGGTTTTGAACTCCTGACCTTGAGCGATCCGCCCGCCTCGGCCTCCCAAGAGCTAGGATTACAGGCGTGAGCCACAGCGCCCGGCCCATTACTTCTTAAATTAAAAAAAAGAATAAGTAAAATAAAAGAAAAAGGCAAGAAAAAGACCAACGTTTTAAAATGAATAAACTAAACTTCCTAACTATTTCCTTCACTGTAGATGGGTGACCACTAGATTGCTACTAATCCAAGCTTTGTGTGACAAGGAAACTATAGCTTTGACTATTGTAAAAGCTTCATTCTCTTGTCCTCCAGTCTCAAGAGATGGTAACCTTCCATCTACCTTCTACATGAGGGGTCAGCAAACTACAGGACACATGCCACCTCTAGCCTGCCATATGGTTATTTAAACAAAGTGTTATTGCAGCACAGTCATGCCTATTTGCTTACCTCTTATCTAGGACTGCTTTCATACTACAGGCAGGGTTGTGTAGATATGACTGAGACCACCTGGCCTAAAAGATTTACTACCTGACCCTTTACAGAAAAAGCTTGACCATCCCTGCTTTATATAACCAGAATGCCCTCATACTCAATTCTAATCTTGTGACTCCCAGCAATATGGAACTGCTCACAAACCCGCAAAGTTGACTCATGCGTCTCAGCTTTTGCATTTGCTGTTCTTCAGCCAAACGTGCAATCCTCCTAGGTGTTCCTTCTGCCAAGCACCATCTTTCTGCCTCTTTACCTGGCAAACTTCTACCCACTCTGCCTTGCTTACCTTAAATTCTATTAATTGTTTTAAAGCATAAATTCTGCATGATAGACTTAAAGTGTCTGGCACATATTTAACGTAAGTACAAGGTAAATGATGGTTATATTAACAAGCTCCCAGAGGGCATCTGGATCATAGTAACCACTGAATAAAGTAGTAAACAAAAAAAAGAACAATAAAAACAAGCTCTTTGTGGGGCGCGGTGACAACGCCATTAAAATATGGCGCTGATATCCGGTGCCTCGCCCTTGCTTCTCCCGCTGGTAAACAAGTTCTGCGCCTGTGTGTCGAATGTAACCAATGATATGAGTTTCCTGCTTTGCAGTGTATATAAGGAACTGCCCTTCCCCTTTTCTGGGTCTTCCGCAAAATGTAGCCTAAGAAATCCCCCAATAAAGCACGGTCAGAAGGACTCCTGTTGCCGCGTCTTCCTTGCTGGCGAGGCGGGCGCGACAAGTGGTGCCGAAACCCGGGAAACGAAACAACTTTAAAGCACCAGCGGAGACGACCTCATTAGGAGGTGAGTTCAGAACTGACGTGCGGGACGGTTGTTCTCTCCCTTTCCCCAAGTCACTATGGGCAACATACCGCTTCGACGCTTTGTGTGGCCTCTGAAGAATCTTTTATCTAGTAATAGGATTCACATTGAGAAACGTGATTTAAAGAATTTTTTGAAGGAAGTGGACCGGATTGCTCCTTGGTTTTTATGCTCTGGTTCGCTGACGATAGCGTCCTGGAAAAAACTAGGGAGAGACCTTAAGGGAGCATCAGATTTAAAACCCGGTGTGCTTCTGCTTCATAGGTTGATTTTAGATTGTTTGAAATGTGATCCTCTCGGTTCTCAGAGTGCCGCAGAGCAATTAGCGGAAGTTCAGTCCGAGTGTTCAGAAGGAGGATGTGGGGGAGGTGCTGCAGCGAGGAGTGATAAGGAGAAGTTGCGAAACAAGCAACGAAGGTCGGGGACTAGCTCAGGGGCATTGGCCACGCCCCTGCCCCCGGTACCACAGTTTCCAGACTTGCACTTTGAGCCTCACTCTGACAAGTCTGGGTCCTCGTCCGAGTCTTCTGACTCCGAGGGAGGAGACCCTCCGTGCCCTACTTTCGCTGACTTAAGGAGGGAGCTCCGGCGGCTCGATACACAGGAGGCGACACAGATCGCTCCTGAAACTGATCCAGGTGCAGCGGACGGAGATACTAAGTGGCCGCCCCCGTATAGTCCAGAGACTAAACCTCTGGCGCCCCCTGGGCCGCCACGAAATCCTACATCTTTTTTGGCACCTGAAACTGCTGCTGCCATGGATGCTGCTTCAGTTTTTCCTGTCTTCATAGATCAGAATAATCAAAGATTTTGGCAACCTATAGATCAAAAGCAATTAAAAGAGTTAGCAGAGGCGGTCCGTAATTGGGGCCATGGCGCTGCTTATACTCTGGCTTTAGTTGAGCGCCAGGCCAACGGCGCCTTTACGCCCGACGATTGGAATAAACTC